CTTGGCCTGCTGTGTTCATCCAGCTCTACACCTTGTTATCTCAGATTCTCCAGCATCGGCTGTACCCACTATCTCTGGTAATTTTGTTCTGTTGTTTTTTTTTTCCGTAATGAACCTGCACCGTTCTAGAGCTCAGATCAGACCTGATCAATTTAATGGGTGTTCAAAACTTGTGTGTGAGGTGTGGTCCCACAGCCGAGAATTGCACTTCGAAAGTTCTCTAGGCAGTGCGGATTTTAGTGCAGATTCCACGACCCTTCCCATGGCCATTCGGGCCCACAGAGTCAGACTAGTATCAAATGGCTAACCTGAAATCTATTGGAGAGCGAGAAAGGAGACACCTTCTGCTTTCAACGTGAAAATTGTTTTACCCCAAGATCGTTCCATCCCCTCCCACACACGCACATATACAAAGGCCACATGAGAAGAAAAGGCCCTTTCATAAACCCGGAGAGATGTTTTGAAAAAAAAACGAATATCTTAAAATGTTTTGTATATGTGGAGGTAGCTGACAGCTGATATACCAGGGGAGGTGACGGACCGCAGCCCAGGTATAATATTCGGCCTCTTTTGCAAATAGTTGGAGATTCCTGAATAGATATACCGTATCTGGTGCGTGTTTTTTGAATGAAGTTAATTTGTTTTCTGTGAGCTTACGCAGAAATGCAATAGACTCGCGTCCTAAGCTGAGAGAAATCTTATTAGTTCTGTGATAACACCGTGTTGGAGCATTCGTGGAGCAGTTTTTACTATCTCTGAGTTTATTAGTTGTGTTTTGTTCAAGTAAAGGAAAGTTCAACGTGCTGCCTAAAAATGGCCATTTATTCGTTTCAAAAGATTAGAAATCCAGTGATACATGAAAGTAGTAAAAAAAAAAACAGCGTAAAGTGCCAAAAAACATTTACAAAGAACAATTTGTGTCTTTTTTGAAAAAAAATTCCGCCGATTGGAATGTAGCTTCGAGTGTCCTTATGTTGCATGGTTGCGTGCTCCTTTGTTCTGGTTTCGTTCCTGTCGTCTACTAACGAAGTGTGCCCGGTTTCTAGTCCGCACGAGTTTAGCACTGAGTCTAGACGACTGCAGTCTATCAAACAACGCAGTTCACAGCCACTGCAGGCTTGGAGTGCAGTTTTCAACCCAGTTTTCAACGGTCTGTTGCTGCAACTATGTGTATTTTTGGCGGTATTAGATTTTCACCTGAAGGGGCTGAAGTGTTGGGTCTCCGCTTTGTATCCTACCGTCACAATGAACATGGCTTTCTAAACCATACACAACAAATGACACACTGTCCCTCAATCTTCTCCGTCAGGCGCTCCTTTCACATTCAAACATCCACAAAGTCTCCAATGTTGTCGCTTTCTTTGGCTCCTAGCTGAGATTAAATCACTATTCCATCCTACAATTCTAAACTCTGGAGCGACCAGACCTGATCAACTCCACTAAGGTCTCTCTCTCTCCACATTTTGCAGCCCTTGGCAATCCAGGCCTGTTTCTGAGAATGTGGGTGAGTCTGTGACACCTCAGATCACAGTTCCGGCGGGAAAGCTGGGCACAACGACGGCAGTGGTAAGGCTTTATGTCAGTGTGAGTGAGGAGATGAGTTTTCAAGTTGCTTCTCTGATTAAACACTCTGCCACACGCCAAGCATTTATGCGGAGATTCCTGTTAAACACAGAAGACAAATCAGCACCTTCCAACTCCCAAGTTCACGCCGGGGGCACACAAGGTGGGCGACACAGTTCAAGCGCCTTCGATTCAAGGGGGGGAATCTAACGAAACAAAACGATTTTGGTTTTCCTTTTGCTCAGAGTTTAGAAACAGGTCTTCCCATAGCAGAATGCCGCAGATAATCTGTATTGGAATAAAAGTAACAGAAAAGAACAGCAGCAGATTGGATATAGTCTATGCTGTTTCTGAATTTGACAGGTCTGTCCGCATTTCCTCAGTGTTCCTCTCTGAGACCAGCTTGTAGATAACTATGCTTAGCACTTTATTTTAGAGGTTTTCAGCTCTTTTACCTGCACATGCAGTGTTTTGTGAACAGCTAACGTTCTGGACTGGCAAAATCCTTTACCGCATTCTTGACATTTGAAGGGTTTTTCTTTGGAGTGAATGTACCTACATTCAAAAAAGAAGAAAAAGAAATCTTATTATTTGTCATTCGAATTAACCAAGCTAATGATAGAGTGGCTTCGAGCCATCCTAATGGATACATCTTAAAACGAGGACCTGAAGATGGAAACTGAAAGTGCAGGAGAAATTCAGCAGGTCTGGCAGCATCTGTGAATAGAATGTGGGTGGGGTGTGAGGAAGGGGTCAGTGACCCTTCTTCAAGCATTAACTCTGCTTTCTCTCTCCCCTCAGATGCTGTCAGATCTGCTGAGTTTTTTTCCAGCAAGTTCTGTTTTTGTTTCCAATCGACACATTGCTGGACAAGCAATTCAGCTGCACGGTTTCACAAAGTTATTCGTCATGTTCAACCTTCCAAGAGCTTGCCTTAACGCGAAAGAAAAAATAAATGCTGGAGATCACAGCAGGTCAGGCAGCATCCATGGAGAGAAAACAAGCTAATGTTTCGAATCTAGATGACTCTTATCGCCCGCTGTGATCTCCAGCTTTTTTTTTGTTTTCACTACTGATTCCAGCATCTGCAGTAATTTGCTACCACCTTAAGGCAAGTTTGAACAAACATCGTACATATTTTTGGGGGCTGTGAACCGAGGAATTACATAACACTGTTTGAAAATGAGTCTCATCGCATCGCTGCAAAATTAGCAAGAATTCTCACCGACTGGACTGAGGTTTGAGATTCTCTGCTGATTTTCTAATGGAGACTCCGAATGTTACTGTAAGCAACATTAAGGCAGAGTGTTCACCAGTGTACAAGTACTGGGCCCGAGCAAGTCAGACTTCGCTCTCTTACCTGTGGTCACGGAGATGATCCTGTCTCCTAAATGCCTTGTGGCAAATGTCACACGTATAGGGCCGTTCATCGGTATGGGTCCTTTCGTGTATTAGAAGATTGTAGGATTTGGTAAAGTGCCTCCCGCAGAATTTACAGACAAATTCTTTTTTGGTCTTAGACGGCAGCCTGCCCCTGGTGGGTTTCCTTTCCGGGGATAACTTTGTGGCATCTAGGAGGGAGCCAATGGCCGAGGGAGAACACTGTCCGTCTATCTGTCCCAGACTGGGCTGATCCTCCTGGGTGGCCGCGATAGCCAAATTCGCGAAGTCAAACCTGGGCCTGGTCTTGTTGGGGAAGCTGCTGGATTCCTGTTTCGGCTGGAAAACGTGCGGGAAGATGGGGATTGCAGGCAGCTGGAAGCGCGTGTCCACCAGAGCGGAAACAGCAGGCACTTTGGAAAAGGAAGAACGGGGCAGTGGCATGGGAGGGTAACCCAGCGTCCACTGGTGGAGATGGACCGTGTGCAGGGTGCTGAAACCGTATAGGTTGTGTAGCTGTTCTGAAGGGGTCGGGATGCCGTTGGAAGCTTGCAGAAATGCATAGTTGGCCAACTGTAGCGATGGATGAATAGGCACTGGCGCCGGAATAGTTTTACTGCCCATGGTGCTCGCTGGAGGGCCTTGGGTTGCAGGAGACCTGGCCAATTTGCAGAAACCTTAGAGTTCAAAGAAAAAGGCACGCAGTGAGTGACGGCGTTACAACCTGTCTTATTGAATATTTAACTGATTCGCAAATGTGACAATAACGGGATATCCCGGAGTTATTTCCACTGCACGGGGATTCTAGAACTCGGGGTGAGAGTCAGAATTAGGGCCAGACCATTCAGGAGGGATGTTGAAAAGCATTTCTACACACAAAGCGTTGTAGAGGGTTGGAACTCTCTTCCACAAATGGCAGTGGATGCTGGATCAGTTGTTATTTTCAAATTTTGTTAAGCGAAGGTGTTAAGCGAAATGGGCAAAAGGCAGGTGTATGGAGTTAATCAACTGATCACCCATGATCTCATTGAATAGTGGTACACGCTGGAGGGGACTGAATGGCCTACTCCTGTTCCTATATTCCAACTCAGTGTCTACACGCGATATTCAGTGGCATAGAACAAGTGAGACAAGGGTTCAATGCCCATTCGAATTAAAGCACGATACTGCGGAGACTAGAGATCTGAAACAGAAACAGAAATCACTGGAGAAATTCTGGCAGCATCTGTAGAGAGAAAACAAAAAACAAGGGTTAACTTTTGAAGAAGGGTCACTGGACCCGAACCGCTGACTTTGCTTTCTCTGCACAGATGCTGTAAGACCTGCTGAGTTTCTGTTTCCACTGGGCCCGGAGCCCCATTATCAAAATGGAAATGTGTTCTCTAGACACAGGCGCGTATTTTGTTCCAGAGTGGTCGTCGATTTCCTTGCCCCACGCAACCAATTAATAAAAACACACACAACGAATCCCAACCGCGGCCACCCGCAATATTTTTGTTTCGAATGTTTCCGCAAGAATGTGCCTTACAGTGGCCTGAAAATGAGTTAAAATAGGAACAGTCCGATCTTCTTCGCGAAACCATCAATAAACGTGACAACAATCAGAAATGTTACGTGCGAGTTTCTCAACACATACAGATGGGTTTTGAACCGACCGGGATGACCTGGTCACTCTGAATATTACTGTGGGAAAGCGGGTTTAACAAAAAAAACTCTTCTGTCTTGAAAAAAAATGACAAAAGAAAATTGCAAGCAATAAACTCGCAATAAGATAAAAGTAGAAACATTTAGATATTATAATTCTTACTTCTCAGCACCGGAGCGCTGGCAAACGAGGTAAAATAAAAGAGCGGGAGTAAAAATGGTAACTTATTAAACAGAGGTCCACATCAAAGGGAGGGCCTCATAATGAGGTACATTTTATGTGGTGGGTCGATTTGATCAAAGGTTCCTGACTTGATCGAAAACCCGCCGCCTTGATAGCGCCAGATGTAGTTAAAAGCAGCCCCCATCCACTACTGAGCTTGTTCTCTCGTTTTAAATCCATGCCCCCCTCCTAGATTCCTCCAACAGCAAATCAAAGCGAATCGGCGGTTCCCTGGTCAGTGCCCGACAAGAGGAACCTGCAGGACCCGGTCAATGTTGTATGCTGCAGGTGTACATACGCCGTTCTCCTTCTGACAGGGTGTTCCAGATGTTAACTCCGAGCGAATCGGTGAAGATCACTGACCGCTGGTGTGTCCGGGAAGATAAAAATGTTTTCTAGCGTTAATCTCACCAGCTTTTTACTGCTTTCTGAAGTAATGCTCTCTCCTTCCAGGCCATTAGGATGATCTCGTCAGTGGTCCCAAATTTCCTTTCAAAAGGCAACAGCGAGTCGCTTGAAAAAAAACACTTCTCAAAAATAAAGGACATTTCTGGACAAAAAAAACCATTCGGGTCACTTCGCTCTCTCCTACAGCCGCCGCTTTCGGGTTGACTTTACGAAACAATATAAGGACGAGCAGACCCAGAACAGCGTAAATCGGTGTAAATCATTTCAAACGAATTGGCAAATCAAGCGAACTGACATTATGTGGAATTCCTCTGCACTGACCCAGAACAAAACACAGTGACATTTCGCTAAGGTTGGCTTTGCTAATTGGTGAGAGTTCCCATTCTTGTTGGTAAGAAAAGTCACACCAGAAATCTCTTTTACCTCTCAACAGTCACGGCAGATAACGCTCATTACAACCAGTCACGGGTAATTTGTCAGTGTGTGTGTGAAATCCCAAGGCTGGGTTATGCAAGTGTAATTGTATTAGAGGCTGATTAGCTCCTATTATGTTAACCTATACTTTAGTGTAGCAACCAATCCCATCTCATTTATTCTTACGGTAACAGTAATTGGTCGAAATGAATGGACTAATTTTATTTCACGAACTGGATTGCAACATTCAGAAACTAAGGAACCTGCTCTGCTGGTTATTACAACTGTCAGAGAATTTTTTAAAAAAAGTGTTAACAGGCATGAACCCAACGACGCTGTATCGCATCAATCATTTTGTACGAAACAAAAACAGAAGTTGCTGGAAAAGCTCAGCAGGTCTGGCAGCACCGGTGCAGAGAAATCAAAGTTAACGTTCCGGTCCGGTGACCCTTCCTCAGAACTCATGGTAGCTCGGCTGATTTACAGCCTCCACAGTTCTTTCGGTTTTAATCGTTTTGTGTGGACTGATTTAAATATCAGAAACATGTCACGTACATTGTTTTAGCGAATGTCGCTCTGGGTAGATATACAAAAAAAGTCAATTCTAAAAAGCATAAATTAAACGAATCTGTCTCCCGATTAAAGTTTCGAAGGTACTTAGTATTACAAAGAAATATCTATCCTTGGTGTCAATCCAGACAAAGGACATTGCTAATTCTGGACTCGACTTCTTTACAACAGTCACCCATTTGATTCCGTGGGTCCTATTACAATTGAGCCCTTGACCGCGAGTTTTACTGTCTTGGTAGATAAACACAAACCATTTAAATGACTTTTTTTTCCAAGTCATATTCACTTGTTACAACACAGCGCTGTGCGAAAACACCATACTAAAGAATTTGCCGTTTAAACGTCCCATTTAATTCATTGGAATACCTTCAAACTTAATTCTACAGTTTAAACCAAACACTGACGACCCTGTGAGAATCAGTTTCGTTTATCTTCAATCAGATTCATTGGCATCTACAGCATTGGCGAGATAACCAGCAGGGAACAATATTGGCGCTTGTATACGGTCTCCAGGGGCCAATAGAAAGATATCCTCTTGTATCTCCTGAATCAACAAATACATTCGGGTGTAATTCCCACAGAGCCCTGATAAATGTTTCAAAATATACGTACCGAAATTCACATGTAGAACATTTACCCAAGAGTAAATAGAACGGTATTTTAGAAAAAAATCCTGCGATGACAGCATAGAAAACAGAGTCAGAATAGATAGCAGCGAATTCAATCGCTAAAACGAAACGAAAGGTTTTAAAAATTCACAAATACCGAGTCCGAGACGGGGAGAGAGAGAGATCTCTGTCAGCGCCTCTTGAAAGAGGAAGGGTGAACTGCCAGAATTCACTGCAGAGACCATGATATGGCTTACACTGTAAATAAACCACGAGGCAGTAACCAGGGAAATCTCCTGAGAGCAGCAAATCCACCGAGCCTGAAACTATTTAAACTGTGGCCGTAACAGCTATAGACACCGTCAGCGAAGTTTGAACGTATTAGTCATCCCCAATACCCCTTCAATGCAGTATCCCCGATTAAGGAGCAGCTTTCTTTCTACAGCACTTGGTGACTTTTTGTAAGGAAGAACATGCTTCTGAAACAAAGTGTTTTCAAGATAGCTGCAGGTGTATGGCGTTTGTTACTGACGGAACTGAGATTCATAACCAGTGGGAGCTAGCAGATACAGACCTGAGAACTGCATCATTACAGCACTGTTAAAACGCTCGCAAGTTAATCTCTTTCACAGTATATAGGCTAGTTTTTTTTTAAATCGACAATAACAGTCCATTACAAAGCATTCGAAAAGGCGCGAATGGCCACAACAAATGGAGCATATCTGACTGAGTTCCAAAACATTCTGGGCCTGACAACTTAGAGGCGAGAGAGAATTGGATTGCTGTGTATGAAGCGAGCAAAACTAAGCAGAAAGCTCCGAGAGTATGAGGCCGAATAGAGAGAGTTTAAGCGAAAATAAAAGGGTGATTTTATTCAGCACCTGCTCCAACACTATCTATAAAATCACGCGGGGTTTTGCTGGTTAGTCGCGAGTAGAATGACCAGGATCCTACATGTGTCTGATTTCACTGTTTAGGTCATCTCGTCTCATTAACGACACCATTCATGCATTTTGCAGAAAAGTAGCGAAAAATGCCACATACACAGCAATACAATAATCAGTGCATTGAACAAGGCGGCAAACCCCTCGTTAGTGCAAAACCCCAAAGATGAAGGAATACAAACGGCCGGTTCCCTCAATATCGATGAGGAACGGGATGCGTGTCAATATAGGAGGTGACTCCCTACCAATATGATAGACAGAGCCCTGTTCATCCAGGAACATTCCCCTCACAAAACATAACCCTGTTAACTACGTCTGTGTGAGTAAAGACTTAACCGAGCGAGCCCTACTCGGCTTCACGTTTCCAGCCAACGATGAAGCAATTCATTTCAGGTTGGGTTGGCCGAAATTCGTTAGTGAGGGATGCAGTTTCTACCTCGCCGACTAACTGACGCGGGATTTCCGTTAAATTAAACAAATTTTCAACTTAAAGTGCCGCTTCTTGATCACGAGATAAAAAAAACCCCACAGATCATTTTGCAAGGAAAAGCTGGCAAGTTTGCTTCCTGAGTAATCGAGAACAGACCACATGTGTACTGGCATGCTCTCGAAATGAATTTCAATCTTTCAAGATAAATTTGCCTTACAAAATAGGACCATAAACTTGAGAGTGTATCTACCTTGCCATCTCTCCCCCCACCCCCAAACACACAGACACACAATTTTATGAATAACCAGCCCCAGCCTCCTAGCTGAGAGATTGCTGGAAGCTCGCCCTCATCAGAAACCTAATTGTCAATGGAACTCTACAACATCGGAAGGTAGGGCGCGCTGCGAGATATCAATCAGTATTTGCTTTTAGATCAACGTCCTAAATGCACCATTATTGAATAGATAATCACAATCAGCACTCTGGAGAATAAAAGGGGGTCGGAGCGAGCACTGCTAATTAATATACCGAGTAAGATAAACAAACATTCTGAGAACAGGGAGAACTTGCCGTTCAAGTCAGAGTGAAGAGAATACTCTGAGGAAATGTTTTAATCCAAGGTGTACAGAGCAAGGAGAGGGGAGGGGGTCGTTGGCCGGATTGCAGCTGTTTTATATCCAAATTTCGGGGAAGGCTGTGTTCTCTTACGTCCTTATCGACACTTCACAGATTCCAGCGTGCTTCTGATTAAAGCACTAGACGTGTGTAAGGGCACTAAGGGACCCCAGCCGTACCAATACATGCCTCATGTTGCTAAAGAAATTAAATATTCGGGGCCTTTAACACAATTCCATTTGAAACTCATGAATAAAACTCGGAGAGGCCACTGAGATCACACAGGCCACGGATCGTGCTGGTGAATGGGAGCTCTCTGTTCTGCTAACCGGTTTAACACTTTGGGGTAGACTATTAGCCTTTAGCTTTTAAAATGTATTACGATAAAACACGATTTGTGTTATAGTCCAACACAGTTCGATTTCTATGCTCCTTTACTGCATTAGCAACGTGTATTAAAAGCTAAATTGGACGTCATTTGTAAGTTTGAATTACGCTTCGCTTCTCAAACCAAAAAAAACCTGTTTTCGCTCGTCTGAAGTCACACGTTGAGAAGGTTTTAGTTCGTGGACACAAAGCAGAGGCAGTTTGGGAATAAAACGTGCTCCGCGCGTTTAACCCTGTTAATAACAGTCTCATTAACCGCCCTGGAGCCTCTTATTAAATGCATCCCATTAAAGTTAACAGGAGCAAACTATAGCCTGTACCGGAAACAGCTGGGAAGAACACAATAGCCTGACTGGACTTTTCAGCTAAAGCTAGTTCAACACTCTTACCACTCCGGACTGTTTCTGAATGAGTTGGCTAAAATATAAAAAAAAACGCCACTTCCAAAGCGAAGCGGCCGTTTTGGGCTGGGAAGGGGTGGGGGGTCGTTATTACATAGTTCGATACATAGCAGGTTTGGTGATGCCTCGCACAGGAGCAGTGGGATCGAGTGGATTCAGGTGAGCTGGAAATGATTCTCACGGTGCTTCGATCTAGCACGTGTTCTCCCAGGCACTGTCAAAGCCTGGAATGAAATCTCCCATTGCAGATAGGTTGGGGGGTGGGGGTGTAGCTGGGTCCAAACTGTGCTCCCGCAGTGTGAACGGACACGCTCCTGGCCGATCAGACACCGAGGAGGGGCTGCTGGAGGAGACACATCTTTGATTGTTCGAATTACAAGTCGAACCAGGTCTCTGTGTAACTCCGGGTCTGTATGCAGTTAAACTCCTGCAAACCAAAAGGGTCAGCCGGACTTTCACACGGAGCAACTGAATACTTTATAAATACACACAACCCCAGGTAAACATCTCCCCACACACACCTACATAAGCACCCCCCACACATATACCCCTACATAAACACACCCCTCCCACACACAC